AGGTGACCTGCCTGCCTCAGCCTCCCAAAGTGTTAGGATTACAGGTGTGAGCCTCTGTGCCTGGGCAAGTTGTTTCTTCTATAGAAAAGGACTTTGGGCAGCTGCGTGACGTCTTTCTTCTTTAGGGAGTTAATGAGGGGTGAGGAAGGCCGACCAGGCAAGAAGCTCAAGAAGGTGAAGCTTCGAAAGTTGGAGAGACCTCCAGAAACGCCAACAGTTGATGTGAGTCGGAGTGGAAGGGACTGGAGGGTAGATTGTTGGGTAGGACAGTGTATCTTTGCTGCAGTCTAATGATGGTACTCTTAGGTAATGAAAAGATCACTTCAAGTCTGCTTCCCCACTTCTCCACGTCTCTATATATCAGAAAGCACTGGGATTACTTTCTTCTTTTGTCATCAGAAAAAAAAAGGAGGTGTATTTTGAATGACTGAAGTGTTATCTAGGGGGAGGGGTCACATAGCCTAGCTTTTATGAACTTACATTGGAATCTGGCTTAATTCAGGCTCAGTTCCTCTGGGTTTTGTTTGTACAGTGTAATTTGAGGGTGATTAAAGTTAAAAAGATTCATCTAACAGGGACATACATTATTTACCTGGTAGATCCTGACTAGTAGAATTATTGTATTGGTAGGGAGTCTGTGATGTGTTTTTCCTCAGTGATATGTAGAACCAAAATCAGATCTGTCTGGTTAAGCCCTGTTTCCTGGAGGACCCTAAAGTGAACATGAAATTGCAGTAATTATAGGGGATCTCTTCCCTCAGAATTTTTGTAGCTTTTCCCCGGGAGGATCTGTGAAGACTAGAGAGGAGGAAGCAGCTGCTGTATTAGGGGAGGAAGGGAGTTCCTTGCCAGCTCTTGACTTCTCTGTTTCATCCTTCAGCCAACAGTGAAGTATGAGCGACAGCCAGAGTACCTGGATGCTACAGGTGGAACCCTGCACCCCTATCAAATGGAGGGTCTGAATTGGTTGCGTTTCTCCTGGGCTCAGGGCACTGACACCATCTTGGCTGATGAGATGGGCCTTGGGAAAACTGTACAGACAGCAGTCTTCCTCTATTCCCTTTACAAGGAGGTAAGGAAATCTGGGGCTGATAGTTTTTTTGTGTGGATATTTTGTGTTTGAAGCCTTCACTTACACTCTGAGTAAAGAGATAAAGGAATAAAAAAATTGGTCTCTGACCTTCAAGAACACTATGGATAATAGGTAAACACATGTACACATGTGTTTAATAGATAGTAGATAAATGTGATAGTGGATAAACATACGTACGCAGCAGAAGATTTGAGGGTGTGGAGCTCTGGGTAGGATTAGCAGTGGGTCCGTAGAGTCTCAGTTCTAGGGGAATGATTATGTGTTGAGGGAAGTAGAATTACGAGTAGAATTAGTATGGAAAGACTTGGCTGTACGCAGTGGCTCACACCTGTAATCCCAGCACTGGGAGCCTGAGGTGGGTGGATCACCTGAGGTCGGGAGTTTGAGACCAGCCTGACCAACATGGTGAAACCCCGTCTCTACTAAAAATACAAAGTTAGCCGGGCGTGGCGGCGCATGCTACTTGGGAGGCTGAGGCAGGAGAATCACTTAAACCCGGGAGGCAGAGGTTTCAGTGAGTTGAGATTGCACCATTGCACTCCAGCCTGGGCAACAAGAGTGAAACTCCGTCTCAGGAAAAAAGTATAGAAAGACTTAATGGGAGAGACAAGACTTGTAGTTATGGTGGGACCTTGTCTTTTTGGAAAGGCACAGGCTGGGCATGTGTATGGAGGAAGGTGAGAACAGGAGCAGGAGCGCAGGTGTCAGTCCTTGGCTCGGCTTGAGGGGACAGCAGGGTGCTGGGTGTTCACTGGGGTTACAGTGTGCGGGGGCCCTCAGTCCTGACTTTCCTCTTCTTCCTCAAAGGGTCATTCCAAAGGCCCCTTCCTAGTGAGTGCCCCTCTTTCTACCATCATCAACTGGGAGCGGGAGTTTGAAATGTGGGCTCCAGACATGTATGTTGTAACCTATGTGGGTGACAAGGACAGCCGTGCCATCATCCGAGAGAATGAGTTCTCCTTTGAAGACAATGCTATTCGTGGCGGCAAGAAGGCCTCCCGCATGAAGGTATCTCAGGGCAGGGAAGCCACCCTAGAGAAAGAGTTGCGGCTTCTGGCTTAGTTTACCTCCTTGTGATCTGGTCCTTGGTGAGGCAAAAGGGTAATCCTGGGAGGAGGAAAACGTTCCGTCAGTCCCCGGGTTGTGATTACATGAGAGAAGGTGACTAGTAGTGACCAAGTTGCCTTCATGTGCAGAAAGAGGCATCTGTGAAATTCCATGTGCTGCTGACATCCTATGAATTGATCACCATTGACATGGCTATCTTGGGCTCTATTGATTGGGCCTGCCTCATCGTGGATGAAGCCCATAGGCTGAAGAACAATCAGTCTAAGGTGAGGGCTGAGGGAGGGATGTTGGAGCCCTGACTTTGAGTTTTTTCTAGTACTCCCAATTTGTTAGGGGGAAGACTTGCAGGTGGAGAGGAGAGAGAAAAATTGTCTCTGCCTTCTTTCCTTGTATGTGACAGCCCTTGGTGGCCAGGCCTTTAAAAAGAATGTGAGGAGTGGGATGCTTAACTATTGGGCAGTGAAAAACTTGAAATTTGGTAGAGATTTATTAGAGCTGTGTTTTCATTGGATTTCACATTTTTCCATCTGCTTCACCAGTTCTTCCGGGTCTTGAATGGTTACTCACTCCAGCACAAGTTGTTGCTGACTGGGACTCCATTACAAAACAATCTCGAAGAGTTGTTTCATCTGCTCAACTTTCTCACCCCCGAGAGGTTCCAGTAAGTATGTGTTTATCTGTAATCGGCTCATAATTGTGCTTCTCATTCTTCCTGTTGCCCATTTCCTGTATCACTTTTCTTTCTTCCCTTCTCCTTCTCCAATAACTTTTTCCTTTTTCTTTCTGAAGCAATTTGGAAGGTTTTTTGGAGGAGTTTGCTGACATTGCCAAGGAGGACCAGATAAAAAAACTACATGACATGCTGGGGCCGCACATGTTGCGGCGGCTGAAAGCCGATGTGTTCAAGAATATGCCCTCCAAGACAGAACTAATTGTGCGTGTGGAGCTGAGCCCTATGCAGAAGTGAGTTGGGAGGGACAGAAACAGACTCCATTTAGACATCTGCCAGTCTGCAGTCTTTCCTATTCCTCCCTCACTCAGCTTCAAGGCATCTGGTGACAGGAGCAAGCAAGGCCTAAAGAAACCTGATGCTAGGGCGCTGGAGCACATGGTTCTTACTTATTTTAAGTTATACCTTTCCGTATTTAAAATGGTGGTGGTAGTGCTTGTGCGTTAGGTGTCCTTAGTGCCAAAGTGGGATGTGTTGGAAGAAAGATCTCAGTTGTTGGGCCTGCATTATGAGTCACCGAAAGCCTCTGAGGTCTAACCTGTCTTTCTACCTTGGCCATGTAGGAAATACTACAAGTACATCCTCACTCGAAATTTTGAAGCACTCAATGCCCGAGGTGGTGGCAACCAGGTGTCTCTGCTAAATGTGGTGATGGATCTTAAGAAGTGCTGCAACCATCCATACCTCTTCCCTGTGGCTGCAATGGTATGTAGTGCCACCTCCTGTTTTTCCCTGGGTTGGGACTCCTCCATATGTGCCTTCTTTTAATATTTTTTTCTTTGCTTTTGTTCTCAGGAAGCCCCTAAGATGCCTAATGGCATGTATGATGGCAGTGCCCTAATCAGAGCATCTGGGAAATTACTGCTGCTGCAGAAAATGCTCAAGAACCTTAAAGAGGGTGGGCATCGTGTACTCATCTTTTCCCAGGTATCATGTGGACTGGGAGCTTTAGGGAACAGTCATAGACAACCGTCAGTGACCTCAGGAAAGGGTTACCATCTGACTCTTCCATAATTAAACCATGCTCCTTTTACAGATGACCAAGATGCTAGACTTGCTAGAGGATTTCTTGGAACATGAAGGTTATAAATACGAACGCATCGATGGTGGAATCACTGGGAACATGCGGCAAGAGGCCATTGACCGCTTCAATGGTGAGAGAGAAGTTGTTTAGTTTCAGGAATTCTCTGTAACTTCTTGTGCATCTGCTTTTCTGTGTAGTTCTTTTCGGGCTTTGTCATTTGAGATGGAAGGGTAAAGCTTTTGAATGTCTCAGTTGGAAGAATGTATTGGACTATTCCTAGGAGATTTTTTCCTTTGGGGTCTTTGTTCTTTCTGCTAGAAAGAAGAAAGCATTGTATCTTGAGGGCAAGCAAGAGGTCAGGACTTGTTCAAGCTCAAATAGCAAGTTACTAGCAGACTTATCTGCCTCAGTAGACACTACTAGGGTTTGGTTTTGTTTTTTGTTTTTTGTTTGTTTTTTTTTTTGAGATGGAGTCTTGCTCTGTTACCCAGGCTGGAGTGCAGTGGTGCGATCTTGGCTCACTGCAACCTCCGCCTCCTGGGTTCAAGTGATTCTCCTGCCTCAGCCTCCCAAGTAGCTGGGACTATAGGTGCGTGCCACCACGCCCACCTAATTTTTGTACTTTTAGTAGAGATGGGGTTTCACCATGTTGGCCAAGATGGTCTTCATCTCCTGACCTCATTATCCGCCCGCCTTGGCCTCCCAAAGTGCTGGGATTACAGGCACGAGCCACCATGCCCAGCCTGTTTTGTTTTGTTTGTTTGAGATGGGGTCTCACTCTGTTGCGGAGGCTGGAGAGCAGTGGCATGATCATGGCTTACTACAACCTGGACCCACATCCAGGCTTAAGTGATCCTGCTGCTTCAGCCTCCCAACTAGCTGGGGCTATAGGCTTGAGCCACTGTACCTAGCTAATTAAAAAAATTTTTTTGAAGAGATAGGGTCTTGCCATGTTGTCCAGGCTGATCACAAACTTCTGGGCTCAAGCAGTCCTCCTGCCTTGGCCTCCCAAAGTATTGAGATGATAGGCATAAGCCACTGTACTCAGTGTCACTACTACTTGTTTTAAAAAAACTTTTTATTTTAATTTTAGACTTAGAAAAAAGTTACAGAACAGCACAGAGAGCTCATGTATACTGTTCAACTAGCTAGCTTCTCTTAATAATAACTTACATAACTGCAGTACAATGATCAAAACTAGGAAATTATCATTGGTGTTATACTATAAATGACAGACCTTCAATGGATGTCACCAGTTTTTCCTGATGTCTGTTTTCTGTTTCAGGATCCAATCCCAGGTCCCATGTTCCATTTAGTTATTGTGCTTCCTGCTATCTATGACATTTATTTTTTTTCCTTTTCTTACATGATACGGATTTTTTTTTGAGATGGAGTCTCACTCTGTTGCCCAGACTGGAGTGCAGTGGCACGATCTTGACTCATTGCAACCTGTGCCTCCTGGGTTCAAGCGATTCTCCTGTCTCAGCCTCCTGAGTAGCTGAGATTACAGGTGTGCGCCACCATGCCCAGCAGATTTTTGTATTTTTAGTAGAGACGGTTTCACCATGTTGGCCAGGCTGGTCTCGAACTCCTGACCTCAGGTAATCCACCTGCCTCGGCCTCCCAAAGTGCTGGGATTACAGGTGTGAGCCACTGTGCCCGGTCAATATAGATACTTTTGATGAACACTGGTCAGTTATTTTGTAGCATGGCTCTAAGTTTGGGTTTGTGTGATGTTTTCTCTTGATTAAATTAGACATTTTGTGCAAGAATGCCACAGAGGTGATGTTGTGTCCTTTTCTTTTCTTTTCGTTTTTTTTTTTTGAGACAGTCTTGCTCTGTTACCAGGCTGGAGTCTGGAGTGCAGTGGTGTGATCTTGGCTCACTGCAACCTCCACCCAGGTTCAAGCCATTCTCCTGCCTCAACCTCCCGAGTAGCTGGGATTACAGGTGCCCGCCACCGTGCCCGGCTAATTTTTGTACTGTTAGTAGAGACAGGGTTTCACCACGTTGGTCAAGATCTCCTGACCTTGTGAGCCACTGCACCCGGCCGATGATGTTTCCTTTTCAGTGCATCATACTGGGGCACGGACATGTGTTATGTCCCCTTACTGGTAATGATTTGATCACTGGTTAAGGTGGTGTCTGTTGAGTTTCTGCAGTGTAAAGTTTCTCTTGTTCCCAATTGTAATCACATAAATAGCTTGAGGGAGATATTTGAGACTGTGTCAGTGTCCTGTTTCTCCTTAAACTTTCACACTGATTTTAGTATCCATCAGTGGACTTTGCTTACAATGATTATTACTGTGGTGTTTGCCTATGAGGTTTTATATTCTGACATTCTTTCTTTTTACCTTCGCCTCCTGGGTTCAAGCGATTCTCTTGCCTCAGCCTCCCAAGTAGCTGGGATTACAGGTGACTGCCACCATGCCTGGCTAATTTTGTATTTTTAGTAGGCAGGATTTCACCATGTTGGCCAGCTTAATGTCGAACTCCTGACCTCAGGTGATCTGCCCACCTCAGCCTCCCAAAGTGCTGGGGTTATAGGCGTGAGCCACTGCACCTGGCCTATTCTGACGTTTTTCTTTAAGAGATGGGGTCTTGCTGTGTTGCCCAGGCTGGAGTGCAGTAGCACAAAGCTCACTATAACCTTGAACTCTTGGGCTCAAGTGATTCTCCTGCCTCAACTTCCTGAGTAGCTGGGACTACAGGTGTGCACCACCATGCCCAGCTAATTTTTCTTTTTTTTTTTTGAGATGGAGTGTCTCGCTCTGTTGCCCAGGCTGAAGTGCAGTGGTGCAATCTCTGCTCACTGCAAACTCTGCCTACCGGGTTCAAGCGATTCTCCTGCCTCAACCTCCCGAGTAGCTGGGACTACAGGTGTACACCACCATGCCTGGCTAATTTTTGTATTTTTAGTAGAGGCAGGGTTTCACCATGTTGGCCAGGCTGGTCTTGAACTCCAATGATCCACCTGTGTCTGCCTCCCAAAGTGCTAAGATTACAGGCTTGAGTCACCGCCCCGGCTTAATTTTTTAAACTACATTTGTGAATTGGAATTTAGGAGACACTTCTAATGGTGTTTTTGGTTCCTTTATTAGCACCAGGTGCTCAGCAGTTCTGCTTCTTGCTTTCCACTCGAGCTGGGGGCCTTGGAATCAATCTGGCCACTGCTGACACAGTTATTATCTATGACTCTGACTGGAACCCCCATAATGACATTCAGGTGAGCAGAGGCAGCAGGCAGCCTTAATAAGTAACATGTTAGAGGCATAGTGGCCTCTATGAGCACTCTACCATCTGGAATTAGGTTTTTAGGTGAGAAACAACAGATTCTTTTTGTGTTGTTTACCTTATTGTAAGCCAGAGAATTTGGTTAGCTGTGGTCCTATTTTGGGTAACATGTTAGAGGGTGGTGTCTGGAGGCAGGGGTGCAAAAAGAAGTTTCCTATGAGGGCAGGCTGTAGACCTTGTCTTGTGCCGAATTTAGAATACTATGTGGAAGTCAGGATAAGAGTGGCACCAGGAAAATACAATTTCTGGCTTTATTTCCTGCTCAACTCCAGGCCTTTAGCAGAGCTCACCGGATTGGGCAAAATAAAAAGGTAATGATCTACCGGTTTGTGACCCGTGCGTCAGTTGAGGAGCGCATCACGCAGGTGGCAAAGAAGAAAATGATGCTGACGCATCTAGTGGTACGGCCTGGGCTGGGCTCCAAGACTGGATCTATGTCCAAACAGGAGCTTGATGATATCCTCAAATTTGGCACTGAGGAACTTTTCAAGGATGAAGCCACTGATGGAGGTGAGCTAGTCAGGAACTTACATTTTGGTGTGGGGCTTGGCCTCTCTAAAGGTTAGGGAGAATCTTTGATACCAAGGGTCTTGTGGGACTTGCTTTTTCCACTGCAGCTGCTGAAGCTGACTTTGGGGATGTGGGCCCTTGATTTTTTATAGGAGGAGACAACAAAGAGGGAGAAGATAGCAGTGTTATCCACTACGATGATAAGGCCATTGAACGGCTGCTGGACCGTAACCAGGATGAGACTGAAGACACAGAATTGCAGGGCATGAATGAATATTTGAGCTCATTCAAAGTGGCCCAGTATGTGGTACGGGAAGAAGAAATGGGGGTGAGTATGAATCCAAGGCAATCCTGTGCTTGGTGATTGGTCTGAAAATTGGAATTGAGACCAAGGTGATATTTGAGACAAGAGGAAATCATCTATAGGCAAATTCTTACATTGATGAATTGATACACCTCTTCCTTTGAAAACAAGGCTGATAACATGACTAATCAGATTTTCATCTTTGCCTTGGTTGTCAGAAAACTTACAACCAAATATGCTCACAACAGTTATTTTGGCTCTTTACCAGAATGTCATTTTCTCTTACGTGTTTTATTAAACCTTACACATAAAATTTTGAATGTTACTTCATCTCTCTAGAGAAAAGGCAGAAGATCCTAGATAATCTGTCTCTTTGTGTTTTCTGGTTTTTATTTAAGAGACAGGGTCTCTACCAGGTGTAGTGGCTCAAGTCTGTAATCCCAGCACTTTGGGAGGCCGAGACAGGCAGATAGATCACTTGAGGCCAGGAGTTTGAGACCAGCCTGGCCAACACGGTGAAACCCAGTTTCTCCTAAAAATAAAAAAATTAGCCAGGCATGATGGAGCACAGCTGTAGTCCCAGCTACTCAGGAGGCTGAGGCAGGAGAATCGCTTGAACCCAGGAGGCAGAGGTTGCAGTGAGCTGAGATCACGCCATTGCATTCCAGCCTGGTGACAGAGCCAGACTCTGTCTGAAGAGAAAAAAAAACAACAAAAAAAGAGACAGGGTCTGGCTCTGTCATCCAGGCTAGAGTGCAATGGCACAGTCATAGCTCAGTGCAACCTTAAACTCCTGGGCTGAAGAGTGACCCTAGTAGATGTGTGCTACCAGACCTGGTTAATTTTTTAAATGTTTTTAGAGATGTCTTGCTGTGTTGCCCAGGATGGTCTTGAACTCCTGGCCTTAAGCAGTCCTCCTGCCTTGGCCTCCCAAAGCACTCCAGGTGTTACCCACTGCACCAGGTCTCCTTGTGTTTATTTTTATGTATTTATTATTGTATTTATGTATTTATGTATTTATTTATTTTGAGATGGAGTCCCACTCTCTCCCCCAGGTTGGAGTGCAGTGGTGCGATCTCAGCCCACTGCAAGCTCCGCCTCCCGGGTTCAAGCAATTCTCCTGCCTGAGCCTCCCGAGTAGCTGGGACTACAGGCGCCTGCCACCACACCTGTCCAATTTCTTTGTGTTTTTATTAGAGACGAGGTTTCACCGTGTTAGCCAGGATGGTCTTGATTTCCTGACCTTGTGATCCACCCGCCTTGGATTACAGGGGTTACAGGTGTGAGCCACTGCCCCGGCCTTACCTATGTTTTTTTTTGAGACAGAGTCTTGCTCTGTTGCCCAGGCTGGAGTGCAGTGGTGGGATCACAGCCCACTGCAACCTCCACTTCTGGGTTCAAGCAATTCTCCTGCCTCAGCCTCCCAAGTAGCTGAGATTACAGGTACGCACCATCATGCCCGGCTAATTTTTTTATAGTTTTAGTAGAAACGGGGTTTTACCATGTGTGCTGGGGTATTCTAGAACTCCTGACCTCAAGTGATCCGCCTGCCTCGGCCTCCCAAAGTGGTGGGATTATAGGCATGAGCCACCGCGCCCGGCCTCCTTGTGTGTGTGTTTTTTTCTTTTTTTTTTTTTGAGACAGAGTCTTGCTCTCTCGCCCAGGCTGGAGAGCAGTGGCGTGATCTTGGCTCACTGCAACCTCTGCCTCCTGGGTTCAATTCTCCTTCCTCAGCCTCTCGAATAGCTGGGACTACAAGCATGTGCCACCACGCCCAGCTAATTTTTTGTATTTTTAGTAGAGATGGGGTTTCACTGTGTTAGGATGGTCTCGATCTCCTGACCTCATGACCCATCTGCCTCGGCCTCCCAAAGTGCTGGGATTACAGGCATGAGCCACTATGCCTGGCCCCTCCTTGTGTTTTTTTAAAGATTAGAATCAGGCCAGGCGCGGTGGCTCATGCCTGTAATCCCAGCACTTTGGGAGGCCGAGGTGGGTGGATCACGAAGTCAGGAGATCGAGACTATCCTGGCCAACATGGTGAAACCCTGTCTGTAGAAAAATACAAAAATTAACTGGGTGTGGTGGTGGGCACCTGTAGTCCCAGTTACTTGGGAGGCTGAGGCAGAGAATCACTTGAAACCCGGGAGGTGGAGGTTGCAGTGAAGCCGAGATTGCGCCACTGCACTCCAGCCTGGCGACAGAGTGAGACTCCGTCTCAAAAAAAAAAAAAAAAATTAGAATCGGTCTATACCTTTTTATTCTCCTCCCTTCTCTTTCTTGGTCTTTTATAGTAAAAAAAGAAAATAGTATGTGAGGAATGTGTGGCTTGTTTTAATGTTTTTCTCTCCCAAATGATGTAGAGGAGTATGAAATGGAAAAATAAAATTTCCTTTTTCTTCTGGTCTTCTGTAAACCACTCAGCTCAGGATTCTTTGAATTGGCATTGGTTCTGGTGGTCTTTGTCATCTTTTCTCATTCTCCCACCTCAGAACCATCCCCCTTGCTGTGTTTCCCTGATACTTACCTGTGATTTTGTTCTTGAAGGTAATATGTCCAACCTTAGTTTATATGTAAGTGTGGCTGAATGGTCTGACATAGGTCTGCATACTATAGTGTTCAATCAGAAACAACCCTACTAATAGAATGCTCACATTCCTTTCAGTGGCAGTGAATGTAATAGGAGTGATTGACAGGAGGGAGAGCACATGATAAGTGGATCATCCTTGTTGGTGACTACACAAGTATACACATTGTTCTTTGATTAGTGACTGCAGCTGCTGTTGACTTCTTTTAAAAATTTTTTAACTTTTATTTTTGATAGTAATTTACATAGCTCAAAATACAGGAAAGGGCAAGATGCGGTGGCTCATGCCTAGAATCCCAGTACTTTGGGAGGCTGAGGCGGGAGGGCCGCTTGAGCCCAGGAGTTGGAGACCAACTTGGGCAACATGGTGAAATTCCGTCTCTAAGTAATAAAAACATTAGCTGAGTGTGGTTGCTCATGCTGTGGTTCTAGCTGTGTGGGAGGATCGCTTAAACCTGGTGGTTGAGGCTGCAGTGAGCCATAATGATGCCACTGTACTCTAGCCTAGACAACACAGCTAGACCCTCTCCCCCCAAAAAAAAAAAAAACATATATATATTTATATGTACACACACGTATCTCTTTTCTCCTCTGTCCTCTAACAATTTAGTTCCCTTCTTGGGGACAGCTAATGTTTTCAGTTCCTTTTATATCTTTACAAAAATATTTTATGTGTATACAAATTATACATATATTCATACATGTATATGTACACCCACATACATGTACCCAAAAACTTTTTTTTCCTTTTAAACACAAAAGTAATACCAATGCGATGTAAATGCCACATTGGTTAGGGAATAATAACAAGAAAAAAGTCTGTACATGTTGAGTACAGACAATTTTGTTTTTTCTCTGAATATTTTCCATCTATGGTGGTTTGAATCCACAGGTGCAGAACCCATGGATACAGAGGGCTGATTGTAATTTATTTAACTAGTTCCATAATGATGGACATTTAGGTTGTTTCTAATGTTATGCTATTAGCAGCTGTTTAATTCCAGTATAAGGGATATGGAATCAGTGAGTGATCCTGAAGTGTCTGAAAAAAATTCACTTTTAGAGGAGTATCAACATTTTTGGGATATAAGAGGCTATATATAATTCTTTTCGCTTTGCAGACAGTTGGTAAGCTTTTATGAAGTTTATGAAGAACAGAAAGGCTTATAGACCTCTTTTCTTCTCTCTTATGAAAATCTTTTACAGTATTTCAGAAGCTTCTCCATTCTGCCTTGCTAAGGCTCTGACCTCTTTTCTTTTTGCTATCTTCCGATTGTATATGCACCAGTGCAAGGGGTTAGAAGAAAGCATTCTGTCTCTTTATCTTTCCCTGTGATAATGGCTGTATCCCATGTTTTTCTTGAGTTATGCTGACTGCTAATGTATACATAATTATGAGGAGCTATGTACTCTCAATTAAATTTCTTCTAAGTTCGTAGGTCCAAACAGGCACACCAACTATTTAAGAGTCCAGTCATGAAAAGGAGCTAGCAGAGTGGGAACTGTGAGGACCAGGGGTAGCTGGTGGTGCTGACTTCAGCACTCCTGAGTCCTGGCCCTCCCTCTGTCCCAGGAGGAAGAGGAGGTAGAACGGGAAATCATTAAACAGGAAGAAAGTGTGGATCCTGACTACTGGGAGAAATTGCTGCGGCACCATTATGAGCAGCAGCAAGAAGATCTAGCCCGAAATCTGGGTAAAGGAAAAAGAATCCGTAAACAGGTCAACTACAATGATGGCTCCCAGGAGGACCGAGGTGTGTGTGGCCGGCCCCGCCCCCCACCCATGGGCCGTTCCACTAGAGCAGTGGGCCCCGCTCATCTGCCCTCTCTCCCTCCAGATTGGCAGGACGACCAGTCCGACAACCAGTCCGATTACTCAGTGGCTTCAGAGGAAGGTGATGAAGACTTTGATGAACGTTCAGAAGGTGAGGGCTGTGCTTTTTTGTTGCTTTTCTAAATATTGCTTTGTTTCATATCCTACCTGTGTCACTCATTCATCTTTTTCTTCCTGCAGCTCCCCGTAGGCCCAGTCGTAAGGGCCTGCGGAATGATAAAGATAAGCCATTGCCTCCTCTGTTGGCCCGTGTCGGTGGGAATATTGAAGTAAGTGCCATGGGATTCTAAGGGTGGGTGAGTGCCAGATATTGGATCTTTGGTGGAGTGCGACCTGCTCCCTCTCACCTGGGTTTCTTCTTCCCCTAGGTACTTGGTTTTAATGCTCGTCAGCGAAAAGCCTTTCTTAACGCAATTATGCGATATGGTATGCCACCTCAGGATGCTTTTACTACCCAGTGGCTTGTAAGAGATCTGCGAGGCAAATCAGAGAAAGAGTTCAAGTGAGTTGAGGGCTGGCGTGGACTGATCTAGAGCAAGGGCTGCTTCTGCTATCTAGCTGGTCATTCCATGGTTCTAGGCCCAGCCGTGCAGGGAAGTGGGCTGTTTCCTCTGTTGAAGTTGGCAGGTGAAGCTGTTAGTAATGTGTTCCTAGCTTCCCTGGAAGAGAACCTGGGTCGTCTTGTGGGGTCTGGAGATCAGCCTTCCAGTGCAGTGGTGGGCTTTACCTCAAGGTGGAGCCATAGTTATTGCCTGTGATAATGCCTCACGAAGGGATGGAAAAAGAATCTTAAGAGTCAGCATGATCCCTGTTTAACTCATTTCTCTACTTCTTTACACAGGGCATATGTCTCTCTCTTTATGCGGCATTTATGTGAGCCGGGGGCAGATGGGGCTGAGACCTTTGCTGATGGTGTCCCTCGAGAAGGCCTGTCTCGCCAGCATGTCCTTACTAGAATTGGTGTTATGTCTTTGATTCGCAAGAAGGTGAGCCCTGAGCCACTTGCCATTGTTAAAAGTTTCTAGGGGGCCAGGCGCAGTGGCTCACACCTGTAATCCCAGCACTTTGGGAGGCCGAGGCGGGTGGATCACTTGAGGTCAGGAGTTTGAGACCAGCCTGGCCAACATGGCGAAACCCCGTCTCTACTAAAAATACAAAAATTAGCTGCGTGTGGTGGTGGGCACCTGTAATCCCAGCTACTCAGGAGGCTGAGGCAGGAGAATTGCTTGAACCCAGGAGGCGGAGACTGGAGGGCCAATAGGAAGGGAGCCTGCAGCTGGAATTGGGTCTTCAATTTCTTGTCCCATTGCTACAGGTTCAGGAGTTTGAACATGTTAATGGGCGCTGGAGCATGCCTGAACTGGCTGAGGTAGAGGAAAACAAGAAAATGTCCCAGCCAGGGTCACCCTCCCCAAAGACTCCTACACCCTCCACTCCAGGGGATACGCAGCCCAACACTCCTGCACCTGCCCCACCTGCTGGTAAGTCTGCCTGTCCTATCATTTTCTGTCCCTCTCTTTTTGTCCTGGCCTATTTTTCTGCTCCCCTGTGCTCAGTTCTAACAGGGTAGTCTGGCAGGACACACAGCAATTTCCCTCTCAGTTTAGGAGGGCCGTCCTAAGAATGGGGCTGGCTCTTAAAGGCACGAGAGGACAATTTAAGATGAGACAAACTGGGAAGAAATGACCTTCTCTCTGATGTAGGACCTTCTTCCTAATTGATTGTCTCTTATTGTTCTGCAGAAGATGGGATCAAAATAGAGGAAAATAGCCTCAAAGAAGAAGAGAGCATAGAAGGAGAAAAGGAGGTTAAATCTGTAGCCCCTGAGACTGCCATTGAGGTAAGAGATGGGGGTGACTGAATGCCACACTAAAGACAAATGTATAAGTCCAGTCTTCCTTGTAGTTGCTGGCCTGTCTGCTTCATCTGTTTTGTTTTTGTTTTTTTTTCCTTTGAAGTGTACACAGCCCCCTGCCCCTGCCTCAGAGGATGAAAAGGTCGTTGCTGAACCCCCTGAGGGAGAGGAGAAAGTGGAAAAGGCAGAGGTGAAGGAGAGAACAGAGGAACCTATGGAGACAGAGCCCAAAGGTAAAGGTATCCACGTTTTTTTTTTTTTGAGACAGTCTCGCACTCTTGCCAGGCTGGCGTGCTGTGGCGCCATCTTGGCTTACTGCAACCTCCACCTCCCAGGTTCAAGCGATTCTCCTGCCTCAGCTTCCCGAGTAGCTGGGATTACAGGCATATGCCATCATGCCCAGCTAATTTTTGTGTTTTTAGTAGAGACAGGGTTTCACCATGTTGGCCAGGCTGGTCTCAATCTCCTGGCCTTGTGATCCGCCCGCCTTGGCCTCCCAAATTGTTAGGATTACAGGCATGAGCCACTGTGCCTGGCCTTTTTTTTTCTTTTTTTCTTTTTTTAAAAAAAGGAGTTTCACTCTTGTTGCCCAGGCTGGAGTGTAATGGCGTGATCTCGGCTCACTGCAACCTCCGCCTCCTGAGTTCAAGCGATTCTCCTGCCTCAACCTCCTGAGTAGCTGGGATTACAGGCATGTGCCACCATGCCTAGCTAATTTTGTATTTTTTAATAGAGGGGGTTTCTCCATATTGGTCAGGCTGGTCTCGAACTCCTGACCTCATGTGATCCACCTGCCTTGCCCTCTCAAAGTGCTGGGATTATAGGCGTGAGCTGCTGTGCCTGGCTGGTGTCCATATTTTTAAGCACTACAGATTCCTGTGTGAACCATGGTCACTCATGAATTTTCACTGGGGCTGTAGAGAGATCAGGAGGAAGCGATACACTGAAGAATCCTGCACCCTTGATTTTAGGTGGCAGGTTTTCCTATCTCTTATGACTTTATTTTATTTATTTTTTATTTTTGAGATGGAGTCTCACTCTGTCACCCAGGCGGGAGTGCAGTGGCACAATCTCTGCTCACTGCAACTTGCGCCTCCCGGGTTCAAGCGGTTCTCCTGCCTCAGCCTCCGAGTAACTGGGATTACAGGCATGCCACAACCATGCCCAGCTAATCATTTATTTATTTATTTATTGAGATGGTGTCTCACTCTGTCGCCCAGGCAGGAGTGCAGTGGCACGATATTGGCTCACTGCAACCTCCACCTCCTGGGTTCAAGCGATTCTCCTGCCTCAGTCTCCTGAGTAGTTACCATGCCGGGCTTTTTTTTTTTTTGAGGTGGAGTCTTGCTCTGTCACCCAGGCTGATGTGCAGTGCAGTGGTATGATCTCGGCTCACTGCAACCTCCACCTCCTGGGTTCAAACAATTCTCCTGCCTCAGCCTCCTGAGTAGCTGGGATTATAGCACGCACCACCATGCCTGGCTAATTTTTGTATTTTAGTAGAGACGGGGTTTTACCATGTCAGCCAGGCTGGTAACAAACTCCTGACCTCGAGATCCACCCACCTCGGCCTCCCAAAGTGTTAGGATTACAGGCGTGAGCCACCATGCCTGGCTAATTTTTGTATTTTTAGTAGAGACGGGGTTTCACCATGTTGGCCAGGCTGGTTTCTAACTCTTGACCTCAGGTGATCCACCCACCTTGGCCTCCCAAAGTGCTGGGATTACAGGCATGAGCCACCACACCTGGCTAATTTTTGTATTTTTAATAGAGATTGGGTTTTCCCATGTTGGCCATGCTGGTCTTGAACTCCTGACCTCAAGTGATCTGCCCGCTACTGTCTCCCAAAATGCTGGGATTACAGGCATGAGCCACTGTGCCCAGCTGACATTACTGTAATCGCAGACATTTAGATGTAGGTCTATCCAGTTGGATAATAGTGTGTAACAGAGGATAATGTTCTTCCTTTAGGTATATTTTCAATAACATTTCTTCCCCTAGGTGCTGCTGATGTAGAGAAGGTGGAGGAAAAGTCAGCAATAGATCTGACCCCTATTGTGGTAGAAGACAAAGGTGGGTGTTTGGAGAAGTTGATTGTGGTTTAGAAGAACTCTAAAACCGGAAGCAAGGACTGTATCTGCCCTGCCTCCCTGTCCATACTCATCTAGCCATTTTATCCCAAAAGACTGCACCTGTCCCCGGTGGGCCAATGGCACCATTTTCTGGGTCTGAGAGACACCCAGGTGGAGAAGGGATGGAGGTGGATGGATTCTTGTAGCATACAGTGTTCTGGGTAAGGGCGATGGGTGCTGGGCTTTGGCTGGAACCGACATTTTTCTTCCTTATATTCTGTAGAAGAGAAGAAAGAAGAAGAAGAGAAAAAAGAGGTGATGCTTCAGAATGGAGAGACCCCCAAGGACCTGAATGATGAGAAACAGAAGAAAAATATTAAACAGCGTTTCATGTTCAACATTGCAGATGGTGGTTTTACTGGTATGGAAATGAGGGGCCCACCAGGGTTAGAAGGATCGGATGTGAAATTGGGGTTCTTGTCAGAAACTGTGGTACAGGGACTTTACCTCTGTTCGATGAGGGAATGCCAAACTGATAGTGTACTCCCCTGGGTTCTGTGGAGAAAGCCAGAAGCAAATTATATAAAGATGGATCCAGGGATGGGGGATGGTGGGGGACAAGAATAAGTAGCATTTTCAATTCTCACAGATGTTTGCTTCCCGCACCCCCCCCCCACCTTCCCTAAATTCCTCCTCAGAGTTGCACTCCCTTTGGCAGAATGAAGAGCGGGCAGCCACAGTTACCAAGAAGACTTATGAGATCTGGCATCGACGGCATGACTACTGGCTGCTAGCCGGCATCATAAAGTATCCTTTGCCTGAGTCTGGACTGAGGCTTTTGGTGAAAGGTTCTGAAGGTCTCTTAGTTTGAGGTTTTTACTTTTCTTGTTTTGTTTTTCCTGAGCACTTTTCCAATAGCCATGGCTATGCCCGGTGGCAAGACATCCAGAATGACCCACGCTATGCCATCCTCAATGAGCCTTTCAAGGGTGAAATGAACCGTGGCAATTTCTTAGAGATCAAGAATAAATTTCTAGCTCGAAGGTTTAAGGTGAGCGGTTGGGGAGGAATATATTGATTGCTTAAGTGCGGAGGGAGTCTGTCCATCCAGTGCACCGTTCTCACTTTCTTCATTCTATGGAAGGCTTTGGTTCCAAGTAACTTACACATTAGGGTTGAAGACACACAGACTTGAAAGTTAACTAACTGTACATGAGCTATAGGTGACTATGGTCCAATGAGCGACACTAGTGCAGAGGGGTTTGTTTGGGGAACACTGTAGATTGGAGTATTCAGGAAAGATACAGAGGTGGGATTGAATTGCATCTCTGAAGAGGTAGAGCTGTATCAGTCAGTGGGCTGCTTTTTTTTTTTTTTTTTTTTTTTTGAGACAGTCTCTGTCATCCAGGGTGGAATGCAATGATGCAGTCTCTTCTCACTGCCACCTCTGTGTCCTGGGTTCAAGTGATTCTCCTGCCTCAGCCTCCTGAGTAGCTGGGATTACAGGCGCCCGCCACCACACCCAGCTGTTTTTAGTATTTTTAGTAGAGATGGGGTTTCACCATGTTGCTAGGCTGGTCTCAAACTCCTGACCTCAAGTGATCCACCTGCCTTGGCCACCCAGATTGCTGGGATTACAGGCGTGAGCCACTGTGCCTGGCCTCTTTTTCTGGGCTGAAGAGTAGCTGTGTGGGCCAGGCGCAGTGGTTCATGCCTGTAATCCCAGCACTTTGGGAGGATGATGCATGAGAATCGCTTGAAGCCGGGAGGTGGAGATTTCATTGAGCTAAGATTGTGCCATGGCACTCCAGCCTGTGCAACAGAGTGAGACTCTGTCTCAAAAAAAGGAAAAAGAAAAAGACATGTTTGTTGTCTCATACGCTGAGTATAATCGGGGAAGAAATGCACACTAATAAGCCTTCAAGTATTATGTACTAAGCAATGATGTGCCCAGGGATAAAGAGACAAAGCATGGTATCTGTTTTCAAGGAGCTTTCAGTTTCAAGTAGGAGCACATGTGTAATCAAATGAATGCCATTCTGCGTATCAGGAGAGAGATTGCTGATTGGCATAAGAAAGTTCTCCAGAATTGCTTGAACCCGGGAGGCGGAGGTTGCAGTGAGCCGAGATCCCACCACTGCACTCCAGTCTGGCAACAGAGCGAGACTCATCTCAAAAAAGAAGAGAAAAGAAAAAGGTCTTAGAGAGGCAGACACAGTGGCTAATCCCAGCATTTTAAAAGAACTGATTGCTTGAGTCCAGGAGTTCGAGACCAGCTTGGGCAACATGGCAAAATGCCACGTCTACAGAAAATACAAAAATTCGCCAATTCTGGTGGCGTGCACCTGTAGTTCTAGCTACTCGGGAGGCTGCAGTGAGCCTAGATTGTGCCACTGCACTCCAGCCTAGGCATTAGAGTAAGACGCTTTTTTTTTTTTTTTTTTTTTTGAGACAGATTGTCTTGAATCCAAAGTGCTGGGATTGCAGGTGTGAACCACTGCTCCTGGCCTAATTTTCTTGTTTTTTTTTGAGACAGAGTCTTGATGTGTTGCCAGGCTGGAGTACAGTGGTGTGATCTCTGCTCACTGCAACCTCTGCTTCCTGGGTTCAAGTAATTCTCCTGCCTCAGCCTCTAATTTTTGTATTTTTAGTAGAGACGGGGTTTTAGCATGTTGGCCAGGATGGTCTCGATCTCTTGACCTCGTGATCTGCCCGCCTTGGCCTCCCAAAGTGCTGAGATTACAGGCCTGAGCCACTGCGTCATCCGAGACCCTGTCTTTAAAAAAAAAAAAAGTTCTCCAGAGGAATTGGAGTAGGGAGGGAACTCACAAATGGCTTTATGGAGAAGATGGCGTTGGAATAAAGTTTTGAGGAATGCGATGGAGATTTTTTGGTAGGAACAGAAGAGTATCTGAACAAAGGGATTAGGTTGGGCAAAGACATGAGGCAGCAAAGTTTAGTATGTCTGGAAACAGCAAATAGCCCAGTTGAGCTGTAGGGAAACATTTGTGTTGGGTGATGGTTGGGAGGTAGGTTGGAAAGAGAAAGGTAGAAGAGCTAGAGGTCAGTAGGTGGGTTCTTGGCACCAGATAAGAGAGTTTGGACTTTACCCTGTTGTTAATGGGCAGCCACTGAAAGTTTGTGAGCAGAGTTTTGATAGGACCAAGGGAAATGGAAACAGCATTCATAAGATTATAAAACTATCATATAATCATGAGGTGTTAAGGGTCTGGGCTGTGATGCTGGTTGTGGAAAATGAAAAGGGTAAAGATAAAGGAAACAAAACACCAAAGAATTTACTGGACTTAGTGACTTATTGTAGGGGTCAGTAAACCTTTTTACCCTTCCGCAAACCAAATGGTTAATAAAACCCCCCTTTTTTTTTTTGGAGACAGTCTCGCTTTGTTGCCCAGGCTGGAGTGCAGTGGTGACATCTCCCAGCTCACTTGCAACCTCCGCCTCCCGGGTTCAACCAATTCTCCTACCTCAGCCTCCTGAGTAGGTGGGATTACAGGCATGTACCACCATGCCTGGCTAATTTTTGTGTTTTTAGTAGAGATGGGGTTTTGCCATATTGGCCAGGCTGGTCTCAAATTCTGGACCTCAGGTGACCTGTCTGCCTTGTCCTCCCAGAGTGCTGGGATTACAGGCGTGAGCCACTGCACCCAACCAAACCTTTTCTATTAAAGGGCCAGATAGGCTTCAGGCTTTGTGGGACATGTGGTCTCTGTTGTACATACTTAACTCCGTCTTCGTTGTGTGAAAGCAGCCACAGGGGATACATAAACGAATAAGTTAGGATGTGTTTCAGCATTTCATCTATGGATATTACAATTTGAATTTTGTATAATTCTCATTAAGTGGCATGAAATAGTCTTGTTTTGACTTTTTGCCAACCATTTTAAAATGTAAAACCCATTCTTAGCTCTTCAGCCATATAAAAACAGGTGGTGGGGCAGAGCTGGCCCACAGACTGTAGCTCGCCAACTTCTGACTTACTGGATTTGAGGTACAGAGTGAAAGAGACTGAAAATAACATTTTGAGCCTGAGTCACTGAGAAAGGTGAATTGTCATTTAAGAAGAGAGCGAGCAGTTTGTAGAAAAGAATGATACTGAATTTTAGACAAGTCTTTTGGTGTTTCTCACAAATCAGCACCCCTCCCACTACCTACCCGCATCAGCATACACTAGCGGGATCAGAACCAGTGCTCAAGGTACATGTTTGAGAAGCATCAAATCATCTGCATAGAAGTGCTGGCTGACACTAGGAGAGGAGGAGGGTATGAGAAATCTCATATGTTGAGTCACAGGTTTTATGAATATATTTTTTAAGTAATTAAAATCTTTTCATAAATTAAGAGCCAACATTCTGCCTCTTGGGATATATTTCAAAGAACCTTTAATACAGCTCCATCAGGTGACATATGCATGAGTGTTTCTGCAGTATGATTTTTGGTGATGGGGGCCTAGAGGCAACCTAAATGTTCAGTATTAGGAGAATGCATAGGTAAAACATGTATTCATATTATGGGGCATTAAACAACAGAAGCAACAAAATTCATGTGCATACAACATAAGTGTACCTTTTAAAAAGTATGTAGTGGGAGAAAAAAAGCATTTTATAGGTACAGAAAACATCATTCTGTAACTTAGAAACATACATATGAAACAACACAGTCTTTAAAAACCTACACAAAAAGCCACAGTATTACTATATTAGAAAGGTTGCTTTTCAGAGGACTGGAAGTGAGATGGCGATAAGAGGAAATAAAAAACAAAAATATTTTAAAATAGCAAAATAACCCTGTTTTTTTGAGACAGAGTTTCCCTCTGTCATTCAGGCTGGAGTGCAGTGGCATGATCCCAGCTCACTGCAACCTTTGCCTCCCGGGTTCAAGCATTCTTCTGCCTCAACCTCTTGAGCAGCAGCAGTTACAGGTGTGCACTACCATACCTTGCTAATTTTTGTGTGTTTAGTAGAGATGGGGTTTTGTCGTGTTGGCCAGGCTGGTCTTGAACTCCTGACCTCAAGTGATCTGCCCATCTCAGCCTCCCAAAGTGCTGGGATTACAGGTGTGAGCCACTGTGCCCAGCCAAAACGTGTTTTTGAAGAGTAGTTGATAAAGAGGAGATGATAAAAAGGAAAATGTTTAACTGTGTAACTAAATGAAAACATAATATGGATATGTATATAGTATGATCTCAGTTATGTAAAAAACTATGCACAAAAAAACCTAAAAAGAAAAACATCAGGATATATTTCTAGAAGGTGGGATCATCTGTTGTTAATTTTTGATATTCTATTTTCTAAATTGAGTTTTTATTGCTTTTGTATAAGAGAACCTAAAGGGTAAAGAGTTTTAAAAACGAGGACATTGAAAAAGGGAAAGAAAAAAGATACAAGGCAAAGTTAAACTGCTTGGGTGTGGGAATGAGCTGTCCATGAAGTTATTTATAGGTTCTTATTACTATCAGAAACAATGAGAGGTGAGCTGAGAGGCCAGTCAGAAGTAAGCAAAGTGAGTTATCAGTCGAACTCCCGTTTCCTCTTATCCCTTGTCCAGCTCTTAGAACAAGCTCTGGTGATTGAGGAACAGCTGCGCCGGGCTGCTTACTTGAACATGTCAGAAGACCCTTCTCACCCTTCCATGGCCCTCAACACCCGCTTTGCTGAGGTGGAGTGTTTGGCGGAAAGTCATCAGCACCTGTCCAAGGAGTCAATGGCAGGAAACAAGCCAGCCAATGCAGTCCTGCACAAAGGTAGCCAGTGGCTCCCCTGCCTCCTGCTGATTAGGCCTCCTCCCTCATCTAACTGCATCCCAATGTACATATATTTGTTTTCAAACCTTTTTCAGAGCTCCTTTGGGAGTTTAGGAGTTGGTAGGGACCTTTGCCATCCTTGGGGAGTTAATATGTTAGAGGCAATCAAGGACAGTAGTTCTTTGCCTCTTTTTTTTTTTTTTTTTTTTTAAGAGGTGGGCTCTTGGCTGGGCGCGGTGGCTGACGTCTGTAATCTCGGCACTTTGGGAGGCCAAGGTGGGTGGATCACGAGGTTAGGAGTTCGAGACCAGCCTGGCCAACATGGTGAAACCCCGTCTCTACTAAAAATAGCAAAATTAGCTGGGCATGTGGCACATGCCTGTAATCCTAGCTGCTCAGGAGGCTGAGGCAAGAGAATCGCTTGAAACCAGGAGGTGGAGTTTGCAGTAAACCAAGATCGTGCCATTGCACTGGCTATCAGCCTGGGCAACACAGTGAGACTCCGGAAAAAAAAAAAAGAGATGGGCTCTCAACATTTTGCCCGGGTGGGTCTTGAACTCCTGGACTCAAGTGATCCTCTTGCCTCAGCCTCCTGAGTAGCTGGAACTACAAATATGTGCCAGTGTACCCGGCCACCTTTTTTTTTTCTTTTTGAGATGGAGTCTAGCTCTGTTGCCCAGGCTGGAGTGCAATGGCGTGATCTTGGCCCACTGCAGCCTCTGCCTCCTGGGTTCAAGCAATTATCCTGCCTCAGCCTCCCGAGCAGCTGGAACTATAGGCATGCGCCACCACTTGCGGCTAGTTTTTGTATTTTTAGTAGAGATGGGGTTTTACCATGTTGGCAAAGCTGGTCTCAAACTGACTTCAAGTGGTCTACCTGCCTCTGCCTCCCAAAGTGCTGG